ATTGACCTAATGGTAAAACAGACACAAAAATTCACTGAAGAAAAGAACTCCTTAAAAAAAGCAGAATTGGCCAAAAGAAAAAAGAGATACAAAAGTGCATGGAAGAAAACAAGTCTTTAAAAATTAGAATTGGATAAATGAAAGCTATTTTCTCCATGAGACACCAAGAAACAATAAAACAAAGTTAAATGAATTAAAAAACAGAAAAAATGTGAAATTTCTCAATGGAAAGACAACTGACCTAGAAAATAGATCCAGGAGAGATAATTTTAAAAGTATTGGACTACTTCAAAGCCACAATCAAAAGAAGAGGTTAGACATCATATTTCAAGAAGTTATCAAGGAAAACTGTCCCCAAATTCTAGAACTAGAAGGTAAAATAGAAATTGAAAGAATCCAATGATTACCTTCTGAAAAAGATCCCAAAATGAATATTACAGCCAAACTCCAGAGCTCCCAGGTCAAAAAAAAAAAATATTGCAAGCACCCAGAAGGAAAAAAATTCAAATACCATGAAGCCATAGTCAGGATCACACAAGATTAAGCAGCTTCCATGTTAAAGGAGCAGTGGGCTTGGAATATAATATTCTGGAAAGCAAAGGAACTAGGATTATAACCAAAAATAACCAACCAAAACTGAGAATATTCCTTCAAGTGAAAAAATAGATATTTAATGAAATAGAAGACTTTCAAACATTCCTGATGAAAACATCTGAGCTGAATAGAAAATTTGACATTCAAATGCAAGGCTCAAGAGAAAAATAAAAAGGTAAAGTGATCATAAGATACTCAAGAAAGTTAAACTATTTACATTACTATATGAGAATATAATACACGTAATTCCCAAGAACTTCATCATTATTAGGGCAATTAGAAGTTAACACAGTCAACTCACTCACACCCTCTATGTAATGATCGCCCAAAAAAAGAAATGAAGGGGTGAGAAAGAGGTATGCACTGGAAGAAGGGAAAGGTAGAATGGAGAAAATTTTCTCACATAAAATAGGCATGGCAAGGAAGAACTTCTATAATAAAGGAGAAAATGGGGATTGGGAGTGGCAAGTAGTGCTTGAAATCTCACTCTCATTGGAATTGGTTCAAAGAAGGAAGAAAACACACACACACACACACACACACACACACACACACTTTTGGGTATAGAAATCTAACTTACCCAAAAAGAAGTTAGAAGGAGAAAGGGATAAGAGATATTGGAGGTGGGGGAGGTCAAGTGGGAAGATAGATTAAGGGACATAGCGGTTAAAAGCAAAATAGACTTCGGAGGACAGGATAAAAAGAGAGAAAGAAGGATAAACGAAAAACAGGATGAAGGAAAACACACTTAGTAATCATAACTGTGAATGTGAAACGGGATAAGTTTACCCATAAAATGGAAGCAAATAGCAGAATGGATTGGAAGCCAGAATCCAAAAATATGTTGTTTACAAGAGACACATTTGAATCAGAAAGACACACAGTGTTAAAATAAAGATCTGGAGTGGACTCTAATAGCTAAATTTAAAAAAGGAAGGGTGGTAATCATGATCTCAGCAAAGGTAAACTTAATTAAAAGAGATAATCAGGAAAACTACATTTTGCTGAAAGGCACCAAAGACAATGAAGTAATACTAAAAAATTTTATAGCAAGTTTCTCTGGTAAAGGTCTCATTTCTCAAAATACAACAAATGAAATAAAATTTATTTAAAAAAATAAGGGCCATTCCCCAATTAACAAATGGTTAAAGAATATGAAGAGACAGTTTTCAAACAAAGAAATCAAAGCTATCGTAATCATATGAAAAAAATGCTCTAAAATACTATTGATTAGAGAAATGCAAATTAAAACAACTCTGAAGCACCCCCTCATACCTATCAGAAATGACAAGCTGGAGGAGACATGGAAAAATTGGGACATTAATACACTGTTGTTGTTCTAAACTGGTCCAACCATTCTAGAGAACAATCTGGAAGTACACCCAAAGGGCTATTAAAACTGTGCATACCCTTTGATTCAGCAATATCACTACTAGGTCTCTATCTCAAAGAGATCAAAGAAAAAGGAAAAGGACTCAAGTGTGCAAAAATTATAGCTGCTCTTTTTTTTAGTGGCAAAGATTTGGAAGTTGGGTGGATGCCCATCAATCGGGGAATGGCTAAACAAGTTGTAGCATATGATTGTGATGGAATACTATTGTGCTATAAGACAGCATAAGGGAGGTGGTTTCAGAAAAAAACATGGAAGACTAATATGAACCAATGCAAAGTGAAGTGAGAACAACCATGAAATCATTGTGCATAGTAACAGCAATGTTGTAATGATGATCAACTGTAAAAGACTTAGCTACTCTGATCAACAAGATGATTCAAGACTAGTTCTCTATATATTTTAGAAATGAGCCCTTTATCAGATACACTGGCTGAAAAAACTGTTTCCCAGCTTTCTGCTTTCCTTCTAATCTTGGTCGCATTGGTTTTGTTTGCACAAAAACTTTTTAATTTAATGTAATCAAAATTATCCATTTTGCATTTCATAATGTTCTCTATCTCTTGTTTGGTCATAAATTATTGCCTTCTCCGTAGATCTGACAGGTAAATTATTCCTTGCTCTCCTAATTTACTTATGGTATCACCCTTTATGTCTAAATCATGTACCCATTTCGACCTTATCTTGGTATAGGGTGTGAGATGTTGATCTACACCTAGATTCTGCCATACTATTTTCCCGTTTTCCCAGCAGTTTTTGTCAAATAGTGAGTTCTTATCCCAGAAGCTGGAGTCTTTGTATTTATCAAACAGTAGATTACTACTGTGTCTTACGTACCTAGCCTACTACACTGATCCACCACTTTATTTCTTATCCAGTACCAAATAGTTTCGATGATTTATTACTTTATAATATAGTTTTAGATCTGGTACAGCTAGGCCACCTTCCTTTGCATTTTTTTTCCCATTAATTCCCTTGATATTCTTGACATTCTGTTCTTCCAGATGAATTTTGTTATTATTTTTTCTAACAATAAATTAATTCTCGGTAGTTTGATTGGTAGGGCACTGAATAAGTAAATTGATTTAGGTAGAACTGTCATTTTTATTATGTTAGGTCAGCCTACTCATGAACAATTGATTATTTTTCCAACTGTTTAAATCTGAGACTTTATCTGTGTGAAAGTGTTTTGTAACTGTGTTTATACAATTCCTGGATTTGTCTTGGTAGGTAGACTCCCAAATACTTTATATTGTCTACAGTAACTTTAAATGGAATTTCTCCTTCTACCTCCTGCTGCTGGGCTTTGTTAGTAATATATAGAAAAGCTGATGATTTATTTGGGTTTATTTTATACTGTGCAACTTTGCTCAAGTTGTTAATTGTTTCAAGAAGTTTTTTAATTGAACCAAGACAATACCAAAAGACTCATGATGAAAAAATGCTATTTATCTCCAAAGAGAGGACTGATGGACTCTGAGTGCAAACTGAAGTATAATTTTCTTACTTTGTTTTTGGTTTTTTTTACTTTTTTTTCTTGGCATTATGGCTAATATGGAAATACATTTTGCATGATTTCACACGTACTACTAATATCATTTTCTTTGCCTCCTCAGTGGGTGGGGGAGGGAGAGCATTTGGAACTCATTTTAAAAAGAGAAGAATGTTAAAAATAAATAATAAATTTTTAAGGAGAAAAAAATAAGGCAAGCCCACTAAATACATTAAGAACTCCTATTAAGGCTGAAATTGAAGTCGTTCCTGCTTGAATAGGCTTCAAACACAAATATGCAGTAATCTCAGGCCATAAAATGTAGTACAAAGAACAGACCCAGGTTTGCCTTAGTTCCAACAAGCAATACCAATGGAACTTCGAGCAAGTCATTAAAAGTTGGTGGGTATTAGTTTTTTCATCTGCATAATCGAAGCAATAATATTTGTATTCTTCAGTCTCACAAAAAACTGTTAAGAGGTAAGCACTACATGGGTTTTTATTAACAATAATTATCAAGGATACCATCCCCAGAGCTCACTTTAAGCCAACATTTAATCAGGTATATTCCTTTCCAGATCACATACTATATACACTGTGAGTATTAATCCTTACAACCAACTTATAATGGACAAAATCAGCAATACATGGGAGGCTCACTTAAATGATATGAAGTATATTTCCATTATTCCCATAAAATTCTCTAACATGAAAGTCATTACATAAACATATAAAGGAGATAGGGTCTATAGCAGGTCAGTTCAGATGATAGTACCCCGTGGATGCAGTCAAGGTCGTAGTTTTGATCTCTATTTAAATAGTGTCACAAGATTCTTAGGATGAAAGGATTGACTCGTAAGCAAAACATAGTCAAACGCACATCAGTGCTCCCAAAGAACATAAACAAAACTGCATTTGGATCAATACATATTAATTGCCACCACAGTTAAAACATGCACCCAAGCATGGTTTTCATGGCATCATGTGATTTGACAGTAAATTACTATAAACACAGCCTTTTTTTTCTGGGTCTTCTGTGTTTTATGTCTGCCCTCATAGGAAAGAGGTACCAAAGTGTTCTAATCTACAATAATTTTGACAGATTTTTAAAATGAGAAATCCCAGCATGACTGAATAACAATCAAATTGGTCAGACATTTCAACCTCCACAGAGAGGAGTACAATAGCTTATGCAAAACGTAAAAATCCTATAAAGTTCTACTTTACATAAGACTATGATGTGTGACAAACATGTGCCACGGGTCTTATTTTTTAGACCAACAATGAAGAAAAGATCTCTGTGCCTTTAAAAAAAAAAAACTTGAGATAATAAAAATAGGAAGCAAAACAGTCACTGGTCACTGTAAGGTGACAGTCACACCCTCCACCCAAATGGTGTAAGGCACTCAGTCTGCAGATAATTTCACAGAAACTTGCCATAGACAAGAAGATAGCTTAGAAAACAAAGACAAGGAGTAACACGGGTATCACTGGCAACTTTTCTAACACAAAGGCCTTACTTACCTGTGAGAGTCCAGGCGATGACGCATGTCCTGGTGGGGTTGCCGCGAGATTTGGATGTCCCTTGTTTATTTCATGTGCTGAATAAGGGGAAGGGGTAGGAGGTCCAGGTTGTCTTGCTACTTGTGTAACCTGTGAGGAAATAAACTTTTAGTAAAAGTATTACATTAGCAATCAGATCTTTATGAATCTATGAACTTACATCGCTAAATTACAGTATTTAACTCAACATCTATAGCAAAGTTGTAATAGTTCAACAAATGGCTAGAAACGAAGTATGATTCACATTATAGTTTTGACATCTAGTAAGAACAAGGGATAAATGCCCTAAAGACATAAGATGTCTTTAACATCTTTATGCACCAAAATTATCTACTTATTTAGGGTCCTATTTGGACTATTGGAATCATAAAAGTAAAAGCTGACACACATTTGTAAAATACTTAGTGATAACCAAGTAAATTAGGTTTTATAGGCATTAATGTGCTCATTTTACATGAGAAAAAAGGTGCAGAAGAGTCAAGGGACTTGTCTACTGTCATACAGCTAGTAAGTCCTAAAGGCAGTATACAAATGCACACCCATACAAATCCAAGTTCCTGCCTTTAACAACCAAGTCATGCTACAATTAGAGGCTTTAGAGCTACAGCAGAACATAGAGTTTCCCCTTAAATACAACCCTCTCATTTTACAGGGCAGCAAACTGAGGCATGTGTAAAATGCATAGGTAACAATCCAGTTAGGTGCCCAATGGATATAGCACTAGGCCTGGAGTCAGGAAGACTCGAGTTCGAATCTGGTCTCAGACACTTCCTAGCTTGTTGACACCAACAAAGTCACTTTACCTCTGTCTGCCTTGGCTTCCTCATCTGTAAAATGGGGACAATAATAGCACCTATCATTGTGAAGATCTACTGAGATCATGTTTCTAACACATTTTACAAAGCTTAAAACACTATATAATTAAGTGGCAGGTATAATGATGTCATGTACATTAAAAATTTCTGTCAATGTGTCATTTTTAAAAAAATTATTGGTGTCTGATTGGGGTTCTTTTAAGAACCCCAAAAGATGAGAACACCTGGTGTGATAAAGTGAGCTACTTATCCAGAATGGTGTGGAAGAAGGGCTATCTTAGAAAATCATGAAATAGCCTATAGGATTTTGAGCTGGAAATCAATCAACAAGCATTTATTAAGCAAGAACTAGACACTGGGAACTATTTTAGACACCAGGGATTGGGGAAAGACAATAGGTAAATACAGGTTAATTTTGGGAGGGAGAGAAGTCCTAGCAGCTACAAGCATCAGGAAAGGTCTCAACTACAAAGTGATAATGAGTAGAGCTTTGAAGCAAAGTAGGGATTCTAAGAGGAAGAGGTGAGGAATGAGAACACTTCAGGCAGCGGGTACAGCCCAAGCAAAAGGCATAGACAGCACAGACGGAGCATGGGACATGAAGAACTCAAAAAAGAACAATGTAGCTGAGCCAAAAAGTGCATCAAGGAGAATAATGTAAATAATAACCCTAAAAAAAATAGGTTGGAGTCAAAATGTGAGGGGCATTAAGGACCAAATAGAAGCTTTCATATTTGATGCTAGAATTAATGGGGAGCCATTGTAATTTATTCAACAGGGGAGGGACAGAGTCAAACCTATGTGTTTAGAATGTTACTTTGGGGTCCACAAACACCAAAACATTTATAGGAACATCTTCTGGAACAGTCAAGAACTAGAAATAAAGTCAGTGCCCATCAAAGGAATCTTTAAACAAGTTGTGGCAGATGAACATAATGAAAGGTTACCATGCTATAAGAAATTATGCATATGGTACAATCTCTAACATTCAGGTCACCTTTCCATTTTTAATTTATTGTAGAATATGGTTTAAAATGTTATTCTATGCCTAGTATCTACCAGACTGTTTTCTGGTTTTTCCAGTACCTCTTAGTAAATAGGGAGTTCTTTCCTCAGTGATTTATGTTTTGGAGTTTCCTGAATACTATACTGGGTTAGATTTCCATTATTTCTGATTTTCCTTTGTTTCATCTGTCCCACGGATCTACTTTTCTAGTATTTAACTAATTTTTTTGATTGCTGATGCTCTATAATATAGTCTGAGGTCTGGAAATGTTATTCCCCTTATATTTCTACTATCATTTTCATTATGTCCTCACTGATATTTAACTCATTTATCCCTCCAAATGAATTTTGTTATTGTTATGTGAAGTTCTATAAAGTTTCCTTTGGAAGTTTGATTAGTATAGCATAATTCTCTAAATTAACTTTGGCAGTATTGGTATTTTTATTACAGTGGCACCATTCAGCTGTGAACAATGAATATTCCTGGATAGAGCACTGGCCCCGAAGTCAGGAGGACCTGAGTTCAAACCCGGCCTCAGACCAAACACTTGACACTTACTAGCTGTGTGACCTTGGGCAAGTCACTTAACCCCAACTGCCTCAAAAAAAAAAATGAATATTCCTCCAACTATTTAAGTTGATCTTTATTCCTTCAAAGAATATTCTGCAGTTAAGCTTAAGCATATGCAAATCCTGAGTATACATTGGTGAACTGAATCCTATATATTTCATACATTCCACACTTACTTTGAGTAACTGAACTATTTTTATTTTTGCTTTTTGGATTTTGTTGTTGTTATGTAAAAATGCTATTGATGTTTGTGGGTTTATTTTTTAGCCTGATTTTTTTGGGGGGAGAGTAAGGCAATTATGGTTAAGTGACTTGCCTAGAGTCACACAGCTAGTAAGTGTCAAGTGTCTAAGGCCGCATTTGAACTCAAGTTCTCCTCACTTCAGGGCCTGTGCTCAATCCACTGAGCCAACTAGCTGCCCCCTTAGCCTAAAATTTTGTTGAAGCTATTAATGTCTCAATTAGTTTTTCTGCCACTTCCCTCAGACTCTCTTATTTAACCATCACGTCATCAGCAAATGGGGTTGATTTGATTTCTTCTTTGGAGAAGGGCTACTAAACAAATTGTGGAAAGAAGAAAGCAAACAAGTATTTGAGTGTCTGCTCTGTGTTGGGCACTGTAAGAAGCTTTTTACAAATGTCATCTCATTTGATCCTCACAACAACCCTGTGAAGGAGGTGCCATTATTATCCTCATTCTCCACGTGAAGTAACTGAGGCAATCAGAAGTGACTTGTCCAGCGTCACACAGCTACTCAGTGCCTGAGGCTCTATGTAAATTCAGGTTTTCCTTACTCCAGGCCCAGGGCTCTGTGCACTGAATGTAATGGAATACTACTGGGCTATGAGAAATTACAAACATGAAGAAATATGGAATGACATAAACTGATGCAATTCTTAAAAGAAATTTGTTATAAGGAATGGTTCTCTGGAAACAGGGAAGATACAAGAAGAAATTTAGCTGATGAAAAAACAAAAGATACTGTTTTTTAAAATAATGAATATGAAGCATACAGAAAAACATGGAAAATCTTCTATGAACTTCTACAAAGTAAGCAGAACCAGGATAATAATCTACCCAGTGACTACGACAATGTAATTCAAAAGAACTCAAATAACAAAATAATCAAAATGTATGGTGAACCCCCTCTTCTTTGCACAGACAAGAGATGATGGAAGTGTTACATTGAATAAAATGCCAGACTTTAAGTCAATCACCATACGTTTGTGTTATCTCATTTCAACTGGGCAATCACTGACGTAAAGTAGTACTTTTTATTCTTCCCTATTTGATTCTTTAGGGCAATTAGGTGGTACAGTGGACAGTGTCAGACCTGAAGTCAAGAAGACTCCTCTTCATAAATTCAAATCTGGCTTCAGACACTTACTAGCTGTGTGACCTTGGAAAAGTCACTTAACCTTGTTTGCTTCAGTTCCTCATATGAACTGGAGAAGGAAAGGACAAACCACTCCAGTATCTTTGCCAAGAAAACCCCAAACGGGGTTACAGAGAGTTGGACGTGACTGAAAAACAGCTGAAGAAAATTTGATTCTTTATTTCCCACTGTCAACAACAGCTGTTTTAAATCTCTTCCCTCCTAAAGTCTCCCTCACAATGCCAGCCCCTAACTTCTCAAAAGAAACCTGACCTCACACTTTGAGAAAATGGAATGAGTCTTTCTCACTACTATACAGCTCAAAATGCCTTGCCATAATGCCAAATTTTCTATATTCAGGTCTCAGATGAAGACGTAGCCTTTCTTCTTAGCGTAGTCAACTCCATTACAGGTAATCTTGATGCCCTTCCTATCCATCTCCTCTAGCAAACTGACCCCCAGGATCATCTCCCACCCCATCTTCAATCTCTCCTTACAGACTGCTTCTCTCTGCTACTGAACCAAAGAACCCAAGTCTTTCTCATCTTTAAAAAATTCATAGGCGTGGCCACCATCTACCACCATAAGCTATAATCTATAACCTCTCCTCCTTTTTTCAGTCAACCTCCTACAAAAAGTTGGCTTATACAAGGTGCTCCTCTCACTCTTATCGCACTCAATTTTCAACTTATAATCCAGTTGGTGACCTCATCACTGATCTGAAGCTGCTCCCTCCAAAGCGACCAAATCCACTCCCTGACGGGGTGAATCAAGATGTCTAGGTTTGGCACTTAGAGGCCTTCTTCCTCATGTTAGACATCATTCTGCTTCCCTTTCTGGCACAGCCAGATGGGTCTTTTTGTTGTTCTTCCCCCACACACTTCCATCTTGCCTCTATGTCTATTTGTAAACCTTGTTCCCCTTGCTTGAAGGGCATTCCACTCCTCATCTCTATCTCTCAGAATCAACAGCTCCTTCAAATCTCAACTTAAATGTCACCTGCTACATGAGGCCTTCACTTCTGTCTCTGCATCCTCAGCATCGAGAATAGTACCTGGCATACAGGAGGGGTTTAAACGATACATGTTTGGTAGATACTGAAATGCATCAACAAACAAGCGAACACATAAGTGAGGCATGTCACATGAAGAGCAGCGGAAGAACTATGGCTGTTTAGGCTAGAAAAATACTGAGGATGGGCATTATAACCTGCACTCAGACAAGTACGTACTTCTAGGCATTATCTTCAATTCTGGTTAGACCTCCAACAG